GCAGGGGTAGCCTTGTGGAGGCAGTTTTGGATGCTGCCTTCTGGCTGTTCAGGCGGCCGACAAACCCCACCAAGCCTCGTATGGGTGCCTGGTTAGACAGCAGTACAGCTTCATGGCCGGAACATGTGCAAGATGTTCCTGTGGATCAGCCTCTGCCCACTGTTTCTCTAGCAGAACAGATCCGAGTCACCGAACAGCTTGATGCCGCTGTCAAACACAACATGCCATCATGTGTCTGCGCCTTGCTGCAGTGAGATGAAGTCTGCGGTACAGGCACACGGCTACCGGTTTGTTGACATCCCCAACATGCACCAGTTGCGTGCAGATGTTTGGAGGACGCTGGCAGTGGCGCGTCCAGCTCAAGTCTTCACATGGCTACCAGTGGCAGCCGCACCAGGGGGCAGAACACCACCACCACCTGAGCCAGCTTTGCTGTGGGGCTTCCAAAAAGATGTGGCTCAATGGGCATTCTACGGAGAAGATAGGGCTCACCAAGCGTCCTGGTACAACAGGGTACTCTGGTGGTTCGGATGACCAAGATCACCACCAGCCCACCCAGCAGTGCAGTTCGTTGCAACAGGTGCGGGACCATTTGGGCAACACTGGAGCATACGGCTTCCCGGAGGACTTTCCGCTGCATGAGGCGGGCCCATCTAGTCTGCCACGGCAGTGTCGGTGTGAGACGGATGGTATTGACGACGAGCAGGAGTCTATTCTTTCCGATGAAGAAGCAGAAGTGGATGCGACACGGCCACAAGACGCAGACGGCCAGCATGAGGAATGGATGCTCCCTTCGTGGCCGCCACAACCTGGCATGGAGCCACGGCCGGATCCCACTGCTCTGGGTGTGTGGCTAGTGCTGTACTGCATGCATGTGGAGCGCTCTGGGGAGAATTGTACAGTGCACACCAACGAGGCTGGCGACGACATCATCATGATGTGCAATGACTGCATTCATGCCTTGGAATGTAAGCACTAAACACTGGGTCGGGGGAACGAATGTGTGGCAACATATGTATTTGATGGGTTTTGGCGGCTGCTTTCCTGTGGGATGTTGTTCGTTGTGGCCGGTTCTGGGGTAGGCTGCTGGGACAGATGCATTTCATGAGAATTTGCATGTGGTGCTTTCGTTGCCGATCATGTGTGCTGGGTGTTCATGCATGCATGCACGCAACCGCACTGGTTATTCTGGCTGGTCTGCCCTGCCTGTGGCTGCTGCCTCCAGGGTTGCACTGTACGTATCCGTATCACTATACGTATCCGTATTGAATACGTACGTATTGAAAAATTACGTCGGGAATACGTTAAGAAATACGTACAAAACAATAATTGCATTTGCTCTCCTTGTTCTTTTTGTCCGTCGAAATGACCGTCACGTGCTGCCACTCGAGCCCCTTATCAGCCATTGCAATGGAAACTCACAGCAACTGGACTACAACACCCGGCCGTAAAAGCTAAATATTATGAAAGAGTATCAATAATACGTTCAGAAAAGATGTTTGCGGAGGTACGGGGGTTGGTGTACGGGGCATTCGAGGATTACGTATTTCATGCCGTATTTTAGCGTATTTATTCACTTTGGCCAACGTACGCGTATTATACGCGTATTTCTGAGTCTGTCGTGCCGTATCGTGCAACCCTGGCTGCCTCCGCATCCAGGCGGACGCATCCCGGAGGCTGCTCTCGCACGCTATGATGGTGGAGACGTGCTGGAAATCAATCAGGATGGGCAGCATCTGGAGTGGCCTACCGTGCTGGAAGCCAACATACTGGGGCTGGGCCATGTGCAGCAGCAGATCTACACGCTTAAGGTTAAGAACCGGCCGCCTGACTTGCAGCCCATCACCGTCACAATGCACAAGATAGCCATGGCGAACCCATCACTCGATCAGTGGGTGGACACCATCCCATGCTCTGCTGTGTCGTTGCCGGAGAACATCACCGTCCTCTGCATGGATGTCGTCAGCAGCAAGGAGGAGCTGCTAGAAAAGCTCAAGAGCACCAAGGTGTTGTCCATCCGAGCAGCTAATATTGTGGCCTGGGTCAACTACCTCAGCAACCTCACCTCCGAGAGGCATATCGATGACCAAGTGATGAAGGAGTGGCAGGCAATGGACCCAGAGTGTCACAAGCGGACAACACACCGGAGGATGCTGGTCTCGAGGAGCTCGGAGTTCTGGTGCCTGTTGTCCCTGACACAACTGTGCCGGGATCAGGTGATGATGCACGAAACCCGGTGGAGCTACACCGTGAGCTGACAGCGGAACACCGGCTGGTCTTTGCGTCTGGGGGCAGTGGTTCTAAGGTAAGCTGGTAATGGGTGGGTGAAGTGTATTCCCTGATGCACTGCTACTCTCGTGCGTGACACACCCGCATAAGGCTTGTGCCTCCTCACTGATATGCATATCACAATCGACCTGCCCAATGCATGCTCCCTGCTCTATGCCTCCGCCCTGCTGCAGATCCTGGACTACTCCCGGGAAGATGTGCTTGCCAGCAACTTCCCCACCGCATTTCTGTACACAAAGGGCGGCATCCGTCCCCTGGGTATGAGCAACCGGACCTTCTTCCAGCATGTGTCTACGCGTGTGCCACAGCGGCAGCTCAGCGGCAACCTCCTCATGCTCGCCTGCATGGTGGACGTGCTCAACATGGAGGACGCAAAAGTGCAGACATGGGTTACAGTGAAGTGCTGCCAGCAGGACATCGACACGGTGGGCGCCATCCCGCGAGAGGCTGTCAAAGTGATGGCGGACATCCTGGCATTGCCGAAGATGCACCCGGATCGCCGCCACCTGCTCCAAGACATGTCACCTCTCGTGCACACCCTCATCACCTCTCTTCGGTGAACAGTCGCACGCATCGACATGACAGATGCATATTACCACAACGTGCACGCCAATCTACGTGGTGTAGCCACCGCAACCGGGCTGCCAATCCTCATGTTTAATGTCAACCCCGCCGACTTGCACAGTGCGGCTGCAGTCGTGGCCGCTGGGCAGTTTCTGGAATTTGGCGAGGATGGTGCTCCGTTGTGGGAGGAGCGTGTCATGGACAAGTGGTGGCGGGTGCGAAACAACCCCTACACCAGCCAAGCACTCCTCAACACGGTTAAGCTCGCCTTCATGGACATCCTTTTTGGTTTCAAACCTGGCGACAAGCGGCAGAGCAACCCCGACTGCTTCTGTGGCACCGTGTTCCACATCTGCATCTGTTACATGGCGGCCCGCGGTGAGGAACTGCATCTCTTCGCAGTGCCCTGCATGATGGCTGACTTTTGCAATGCAACACTCCGGTGCTGCTATACTACACATTCCTAATATGCGGTTTCAGCCGCACATGCCGTACACAAAGCACCATACACCCGTGAATGTGAAGCACCAGGGCATGCGACCGCGAGTACACACAACGCGTGTGCACGTGAATGTATGACCGCATGAAACCGTACGTGTAGTACTGCAAATATTTGCCGAATGCAAGGATGTGAGATGTGAGGTGTGACGGTGAGACATGTATGTGACAAGGATGTATGGTGGGGATGTGAAGTGTGAGGATGCGACAAAGATGTGAGGTGTGAGGATGCGACAACTGGGGCCGTGACAGACTGGGACTGTACTCATGCATCATGGGGATGCGACACGGCCCCATGTATGCACTACAGTGAGGCGGTGAGGACAGGCACCCGCCCAGACGTGAGAATGCAACGGCACTAGAACACGAGAACACAAGCATGCGTCCAGGGTGTGGCAATAGCTGGGTTCTGCTCATGACGACCATCAAATGCAGGATCGTCCGCGCAGACTGCTGTTACTCCGCTGCTGACGATGCTGCCACCGTGGTGATTTCATGCAATTAGTGTGATGCGAGCCTAGGCGGCATTATTCACTTCACCGCTCACAATCCGCGGACATTCCTTGTGCCGTGCTGCTATCAGGGCCCCTCATCGATTGTTGTTATGGATCGTTGCTGTTGGATGCCAGACGTGAACCTTGAGAATGACCTCCTGCTACGGCACTGCTGGCGGTGGCTTGCTACTAAGCCACCCTCCATCACAGATGTAATGTAACTGAGTCCTCGCCACTGCTTCCCCACATTATTACCGTTCTCACCTACGCACCACACAGCACCTTATGCACCACACACCCACACCTGGCCTGGGAGTCGAAGCTACGGTCCACTTCGCGGCGCGCCGCGGTCCCCTTCGCGGCGCAGCGCGGTCCGGTTGTCCGGTTGTCCGGAGCGTTTTGGAATTCCGGGTCGGGAGCGTGCCGTACACGCTTAAGACAGTGCCGCAAAGAACGGTAGGTCGCCGGTTCGATCCCTGCAGCGATTATGTCTTATGTTTCATATATGTGCATATATGCATATATGTAAATGCGATATGCAATATGCAGCGATATG